TTTATTTATCTTTTTCGCAACGTTCTTCCCTCCTGAGCTAAAGTATTTATTGAGTATATTGGCCATTGATTTTGGATCACTTACCACCACATCTCTCCCATCTTTGATCGCTTTAATTTGTGTTACACTGTCTTTACCATTTGTTAGGCTGTGAATAACATTCCACATTTTTTTAGGGTCATTAGTATGCTTATCCAAAAGGGTTTTATAGTAATGTGTTTTGGTTTTGCCTATGAGCTTGATAAGTTTGTTTCGATATTCCCTATATTTATTTAAGGTCAGTTCGCTTCCAGGATTACATGTGGATATTTTTTTAAGCCTGTCTCTTTCCCTTACTGAATTTAGGAGCCCCTGCGACATCCAGGACCTGACAAATTGTTTCTTACATTTAACTTTTATTTTGTTGGTGCTTCCTTTAATATAAAATTTTATCTTGTTTACATACTTTCTGCAATTTTGTCAGGATCAGTGTGCCGCAGAGTATGCTCCTAATCCTCAGAAGACAGCAGTTGTGTAAATTTATCACTATCAAATTTACTGAAAAACTTATTTGTGGTATTTGCAGTATTTGCACTTGGCAGAATTTTGGAAAATTCAAGATTCAACAATATTGGCAAATGATCACTAAAACCATTATTCAAGATGACTGAACAAATTTTTCTAACGTTGTTTTTACATGTTTTATTCTCCCTTATAAAAAAATGATCAATACAAGTTTTTGAATTTTTTTCTATTCTTGTAGGTTTATTTATTTTGCTGACAAAACCATGTGTAGCAAAAGTATTGATATATTCAACAACTTGTCTTGATTTTGTGTCTAGACTATTAATATTGGTATCTCCTGTGAAAATCTCAACCGTCGATTTCTTGAACAAATTTTTTTGCAATAATTCATTAAGATCATTTATATATTGATCTGAAGATAGTGACGGAGATCTAATGAGCAGTTAAACCAAAATTTACTCCATTCTTAATGAGGGTGACTCTAAGAAACCTAGAATCATTAACAGTTAGTGTTTGAGATTCTACTAGAAGATTGGACTTCACAAAAATCACAGTACCATCACATTTGTTTATTTTACTTTCGTTGTAGAAAGCACAATAGCTTTTCAATTTAAATTGGTTTATATTTTTTATTTCGTTGGTTTCTGACATAGCTATAAGATCAAAGTCAACCCGCAATGCTTCGAGGTAGGTAAGGAAGTTGTCAAAGTTCCTGTTCAAGCTACGCACATTTATATGTATTATTTTTAGATTTCCATTACAGTTACTTTTAAAGCATACAGCATCCATTATATTATCACAGACAAGAGTATCATTTTCTACATAGGAACTTAAGTACTGTGTGGGATCCATGAAGGAAAGAGATCAAAATTAAATTGGACATTTTTACATTACTTACAGAGAAGCTGTTAAAAAAACTAATCCTGCTGTTCAAGTTTATCAATATCCTCACTACAATTTTTTTTTATAATATTACAAGTTTCCGTTTTTCTTAAGTAAATGTTGCCTCCCTTGGACCATACAAACTTGAATCCTTGGCCTCTCAGACTGCGGGCTCTTTTGAGGAGTTCTCTTTGTTCTTTGGACATATCTTCATTGACGTATATAGAATGCGACCCTGGTAGATTACAATTTGTGCTGGTTATGAAGCCTTTTTGTTTTTTTTTTTGTTAAAAACGCATTTTTTTCTAGCGGATTTTTAAATGTAACCAGAATTGGGGTATTTTCCTTCTCGACATTCACTGGCTTGATCTCCACATTTTCAAAATTTAAAGTGGGATCAATATAGCTCAATACCTTACGCTGAGTCCCATAAGTATTATATTGTTTTGCCTTTTCTCCTGGTCTTCTATTTTTGATTGAGATTTAAGCTTTACTAAATCTATATTTATTTGATCGTTCCCTTTCTTTAGAGCTATTATTTCCTCGTTTAAGGCTCGATTTATTGAAATCTGTTCATCATATTTCTCAGAGTAGAATTGCACATCACCCTTCAATCCCTCCACTTCCCTTCTCAGCTCACGTAACTGCTGCAGAACCTCTGTGATAGTGGTAGAGTTTTCACCACTTCCAGAGGCTTTCGGTGTATTTTCAGTCCTCCCTCCAATTGATTTACGGACCTCTTTCTCGGTGCTCGCCTTGCAAGAATCGCAAAACCATTTAGTTTGTAGCTTTTTAATAACTTCGGTATCGACCTCACTTAATTCGGCACAGGGTTTGTTGGAGGTTATAGTTACTCGCCTGAACAGAACCGGCATTCTTTTTGTAGACAAGGCTCACCGATTCCAATATAAAAAGAGATGGCACTGTCATTATTCCCTTCTGTACAAACAACGGTTTATATGATTCTGTGCATTTTTTCTTGCTCAAGTAACGCACAGCCCGCTTTTGAAGAACAAACACTGGAGTGCGCAATGGTCCTAATAATATAGCATTTACTAGCCAGTCTTCTATTTAAAATTTCAATATGGCCCTCAAACTTGAGGAGTGCATCAATATGCAGTCCCAAATATCTCACAGATGGTTTGCTTTCGAGAGTTTCGTCCTGCAACTTAACATTTGTTATATTGCACTTAAATATTAGGATGTTCGTTTTTTATACATTGGAGCAAATTTTATTTGTATCGCACCATTTCTTTATCTCCAAAAGATCGGCTTCTATGGCTGCCTTGAACTGGTCTAAGTTTTCATCCAAACTTGATTTTTTGGTGGTCAGTTCGTTTGCATCATCAGCAAAAGCTGTTAATTTTGCTACAATTGGCAGTGATAGCAAGTCGTTTATGCATATCAAGAACAGTATTGGGCCCAAGACGGATCCTTCAGAAACCTCTATGAGCTTTGTTTAATGTTGTATCACCAATAAACTACCTCAAAACGAAAAGGACCCAAATAGGATTTTTCTTTTTTTCACCAAAACAAATTTTGACAGTTCTGTAATTTTTGAACTCAGAATTTAGATAGGTTGAAACTCTCGAATGACACATCATGAAATATTGAAAACTGAAACATTTGAGTGCTGCCATTTGGCAGGGTCTTGACAGATGTCAAAATCGTTGACATTTTTCGATTTTCCTTGGTCGACTTATTAGGAATCGATACTTGCTTCATCAAAATCTGCCATAGTTACCCTGCTTTTGAATATTAGATTCCAATATTTGACAGCTGATACCGCCTCACTTGTCAAATATACAAGATTGTGCCCATGGTAAAAAATGTTGCTTAGGGCATTTTTAATAACATATTTAAATTTCATCCAAATATCACTGGTAACCAATTTCCGTTTAAATATTGCAGGGTCCATTTAATGGATAAATTGATTGTTTAACGACTGCATTTTATCGGTCCTCGCTATTTCCTTCTTTTGCTTAGATGAAAATAATGAAAGCTCAATTAATGGGCTATAGTACTAGTAGCCTGAAAGAGTTTTGAAAACCTGGATCATGTCCCCACGTTTTTGTCTTTCTTTTAGAGATGAAATTTGGAATGATTTCAACCTCTGAATATGTTAAATGTCTGGTTTTATCAGAAATTCTTGTCATTTTTTTCAAGGATTTCGATATTTTGAACAAATTATGGACTTTAGACTGAACAGGCATGCTCTATTTTGGGACGAACATAGGTTTTATGAGACGAACATGGGCTTTAACTTTTTGAGGTCTGAGTGGCAAGTTTTTGTTAATTGATCTGTTTATTTCCTTGTAGAAAGAGTCAATATTTGTTTGATTGACTACCTTATGTAATCTCTTACTGGAATGAATTGCTTCATAGTCAGTTTTCCAGAACTGCTTTCCAAAAAAACCAAATCAAAGAAGGCTCTAATTAGGAAAACGTATGTCGCATTATTTTTTCTTCATTAGTCAGAATTTTTGACATGAATATGAGTAAAGAAAAATATTATACCTATGACATAAACGTATGTCAAATCATAGCCATCGCTGATTTACGTTTTTTTTTTGAAGACCCGTTACAGGCCACTAGGAACCTGAAATTGCTAATTTTAACTTCAAACCATAGCGATTCAACTGAACCTGCACATTTTACGTTGGATAAATATGCGGAACATGAAGTAATCTGGTATACCTATAAGGCTACCTGGCATTCGATTGGTTAGCCATGTTTCTGCGTTCTGTGTTTTGGATGCTAGATTTTAGTTCATCCAGCCTATTTTCCATGGAACACAGATTGCTATACCAAAAGGAGACTTCAACAAGGGAAGCGTTTAGTTTTTTTTTGTATTTTTCTTCCTTCATTCTGAGGGAAAACTATGTTTGGAACATGGTTAGGTAATGTTTTTGACTCTCCTTTTTTGCTTTCGGTCTTTCAGATCTTCGAGTATAGCCTTTAAGTATGTTCTCTGAAGAGGTGTTTTTCTACTTCGAAATAGATATTTCCTTCATATAGTTCAATAAGTTTTGCCTTATGTCTTAATATTTCTCTTGCTATTGAAGGAGATGAGGTCATGATTTTAATAGGCTGGACTCCTCCCTGAACAGGTGCTCCAATATGGTACACTTTGGTCACATCTTTTTGAATGTTATCCTTTACTTTTTTTAACATATTCACTGTTTTGTCCAGATTACAGTCTTGTTCATGAAGAATTATTTTCATTTATTCCAAAGAGAAGGACGAGGTAAAGGACTTCATTTGACATGTGTCTAATTAACAACTAATGTTGAGAAAACATCTGCATGACCAAAATCGTTACTTTTGATATATTCTATCTTGAAGTCATATGCTTTGTGAATAAATTCCCATCTCTGAAGTCGATTTGCAGTTTTCTTTCTTTGAACCAAAAATAGTCAAAAGTAATTACAAACGTTGACTTGCTTGTCCATATATTATTATTATCCGTTCACAATCCGATGTCCACAGGTAGGTACAGGTAAAATCACCTTTCAATGCTATTTGATAGGGAAAGGTGATAAATTTACCCGCACCTGTGGACATCGGATTGTGAACAGGATATAGGTATCTAATTTTTGTAATTTTTCTTCCAGAATCAAGGAGTTCTACCACCAGGAGACACTACTTATACCCATCAAGGTGGTGGTGGTTGGACCCAGCAGGGAGGTTATACCACTGCTCAACAACATCAGCAACCCGAACCCAAAATGGAAGGTAAGGATTTTGAACCCGATTGGTGGTTTCAAAAGTACCACCGACTTTGATTTTACCCTCAATTACCAAACACCTTTGTATGTCAAAACTATAAAAGACTGCACCCTGTATAAATTTGGCTCTATTAATTTGAAATCAATTAATGGATTTTTAAAATTTATAACCAAAATTATTACTAATTAGTAGAGCCCTACAGGGTAGTTTTGGAAATGTTAAAATTTCCATTTACTGTAGCACTGTGTTGTTATTCTCAGTTTATTTCAGGACGAGCAAAGTATTTTTAAATAAATTGGAGAAAAATCAAAAACTTCGAGATGCTGTAACCTGTAAACTACAACCAACTAAGATTTACATAATAGTATAATAAGTTGTTAATTTATGTATGTATATTAATTAATATTAAGTAATTTGTAATTAATTTTAAGCCTAATTTAATTATATTGTAACCCCCCCAAAAAAAAAAAATGGAATCTTCATTTAAATTACAATGTATGATGGTTTGTATAAAGTTATTATAATAATTATTTAATTTGTAATATTATACATTTTTTTAACAAAATCTTTTCGTAGGATTTACGATGGATATAAAAATAAAAATCAGGCAGAATTATATAGTGGGAGTGTATAAAAGGCAGACCTACAAATAAAAACTTTGGCAGCCCAATAAATAAAAACAAATAAGGAGTATAAAATAAAAGTTAATAAAATTGTCAAATAATTATTTTTCGAATTTTTCCAACGAGGACTAACATGGTTATTTTTGACGTTTTTAGTTGTTCAAGAGATGCAACAGCAAAAGGCTACTCTAACCAAACAAAGAGAGGATTATGTGAAAAAGGCCCTGGTGCTGCACAGAGAGCTCGATCAGTTGAAGCAGCAAAAGCAAGAGCTGGCCAGCAACGAGCGCTCTGAAAAAGAGCACAGGTCTGTTCTGAAGGAAAACGATAGATTGCAGGTAAAAATTATTTGCAAAAAAAGAAAAACATTTTACAAAATTTCTAATTATTCTAGGATGAAATCAACAGTAAACTGAAAGCAATAATGAACGTCATCGAAATGCTGTCTAGCATTATAAAAGACGGTAAAAAGTTGGCGGATCTCGAAGCCGATCTGCGCAAGCCCAAAGAAGAGCCCCAGGTTCAGAAAATTGACGACAGTAGTAATGCTCGGTCGCCTCAAGTGGACGCTGCGAAAGAGTGGGCTCATCATAACAACCGTTCCGAGAAGGAATCTTCTAGGAATGAGAAATCTGATTCTTACAAAAAAGACAGGTAAGTCTTAGTTTTAAAGAGATTTGGCAACACTCGAATTTATTTATTGACGGAGTATGTAATGATTTTGAAGAGAAGATGAGGGTGATTTCTATCAATTGACATTGAAAGATTTACTGTATGATGAAGAGTTTTATGAGTTAGTTCATTATTGAAGAATTTTAAATTTCCAGTACTCTTTTGATTCTTAGCATATATGCGTCTGATAATTTTATATCTATAATTATCGGTTTACAACGTTCTACGTCTTCTGATTCCCGATCTCCAACCATCTCTGTCAATCCAGGCATCCTCTTCTAAGCCTCTGTTTTTCATTTCCTCGTCTTCTTCGCTTCTCCAGCTTCTTTTTGGTCTGCCGCGTCTTGTTCTTCCCCCTGGCTTCCACCGTTGATTGAGGAAGTAGGGGAAGATGCCTAACCTTATGGAAAATAAAAAGACCAATAAATGTTTTCGTCGTTAGGAGCGCTCGCGTCATCCATCTCTTTTCCTAAACATGAATTAAATTTTTAAAATGTCAAAAAGATTCCTGTAAATGCATGTCTGCTATGTAAATGCGAAACGGCAACACTGTAGCACAATAGTTGCATTCCTTTCACACCTAGGAGGAGCTCCGGAACAGCTCCGGGGCTTCACGCGCTTATTCCTTTCGAAAAGTATTTGATGCACCACAGATCTAATCCTTACGAAATCGGGGGCGACTGAACACCGGAGCGAGTAGCTCGAGTGTTTCAAACTCTTGAAAGGAATACAACTAGTACCGCAAGCACTTTATCGATTGCTAAGCTGAGTTCGGCTTTACACTTGGTGAACTCCGAACGCGTTCGAAACGATAAGACCCAGTTCGTTTTAGCTCTCAGAGTGTTCTCTTTTGCGTTCGGGTTAGATTTTTTAACTTTTATTTTAGGTCCATTACTAATTTACCTACTCGTTAATTAGTAAAACAAAATTAATATCGAAGCAAAAGCAAAAAAAGCAATTTTTTTTTGAGATTATTGACAACTGTGACAAGGGTTTCAGGATTTTTTTTTCTTCGATTTGCGTTCGGCTTATGACCTTGCTCCAAGGTGCACTTTGCTGCAAGCTTAAGTACAAACCGACATAGCAACAATAGACAATTTTTTGCTAAGATAATCAAGCATACTCGAGTATGCTGGGTTATGTGATGTGTTAATTGTGTCATACTCCCCCACCATCAAATTCTGGGATAATCGAGGATCAAGAACACTTAATTTCTTCTGAGAGAACAGACCGAAAGTCACCTTTTCTACATTTGAAATCGACGGAAAAATTAACTGACTAGCACAGCTTGAATCGCAAGCATTCCATCGAGGTCTGCGGGTGACGTCATCATTCCTTGCCTTCGGTATTGTGCTCAAAGAATAGAGCGTGCAGAGCGGAACCATAATCACGTGACCAGCGAGCGAACAGAGCAGTTGAACGCTCTATCAGAGTGTCCGAAATTTTAATAAAAGAACGCGAATGAGCCTGCACCGAGTACACTTTTAAAATAAACAAACGGTAAATTCAAGCTCGGAAACTCAGATCAAAATACCGAACGCACGGATTATAAGCTACTGATAGTGACGTCACTCGCAGGCCCAGAATTTGATGGAGAGGGAGTAGGGAAGTATGACACACAATTGACACATCACATAACCCAGCATACTCGATTAAACTTGATTATCCTCGCGAAAAATTGCCTAATAAACAGATAGGTTTTTAAAAAAAAATTTGGTACGCCCCTAGGGTTTTCGACAAATTGAAAATTATTTTTTGATTCATTGCCTAATTTCCCACAAAAAAGGTATCCCGAGTTTTTCTTGTTCTATGTTAAACGTCACAAGATAAAAAATAAAAATCAATGTATTGTTTGAAAAATCTTGTTGTTGGATACACCACTCTGTTGAAAAAATAAGAGTCGCTCTAGGTCCGGTCCTGGAAAAGTGGAACTCAAACTTATTTTTTAGAAAGATGCTTGAAAAAATCGCAAACACTCTCTGAAAATTTAAACAAAATCGCTAAAGGCATTTTGAATCTAGAATCTAGAATCTAAATTTTCCGAACATCTCAACACCCTGTATTTTCTTAACGAGACGTTTGAGGACACATGTACCTATGCAAAGAGTGATTGTCCTATTGGTACTCTATCTATCATAACAAAAGCTCACTTATTTCGGACTCACCCTGGAGTGCGTTTAGAAATGGAGTGTGAAGGTAGAGTAAAATCTGTTTTTTTTTTAAAGATAATTCCCCAAGTCAAAAATTTAGTAACTATGTTGGCAACACAAGCCTTTTCTACATGAAAAATTTGATAGCATTAACAATTTTACATTGTATTGCCAACCTAATGTCAGTTTGACTTTTATTTAAAAAAAAAAAACGCACTTTAGTTGTTTGTCAGAGTAATCTGACGTCATCACTTAGAGTGCACTCTGGGGGCGCCTTTTCTGAACGTAATTGGGGTGTTGCACTAAATGTCAACGTCAAACCCGGTAAAAACCTCGGGAGTGCGTTCAAAGACGGCAATGCTAATGCCAAAACCTACTATTCCCCTTCTACCGGCGCGGCGATGCCAAATCTGGTGTGAATTTGCTGGAACGCCAAATACCGTTTCTCAATAGGCAATCCAAACCACGTGACATTCAATATGGCGTGGCGCCCATACATGGACCAAAAAACACAAAAAATATCTAGTTTCTGCCCGACTTAATAGTTTACATACCTAGTTAACAAATATTTTATTGAATAATCAAAATCGAAGCTGCAAACAAACAAAATAATTGAAATATGCATGGAAACACATATTCAAAACTAACTTGCTGGCCGCCACGCCATATTGAATTTGGTCTCATCCAATCAAAATTTGTATAACCATTTCTAGACTCAGTTGAAAGAGCCTCCAAAAGTTACTTTACCGCGGCCGATTTGGAACGTGTAAAGCCAACCGTTTTTGGCACGCTGGAGCCGAACTTGAACGCACTATGCCAATTTTGGCTTGGCTTTAGCCGTTTTTGAACGCAGCCCGGGGCGTTTTTCAACCCAGTCCCTGAGTGGCCTAATTTGGGCACACTCTGGGCATGTCAACTCTCGATTTCTGAACGATTCCAGCGTAAAGTCTAGTACCCATAACTGCGAAATTCGCACTTTTTTTACATTGCTTTGACAATTTGACGTTTGATACACGCATAGAACATCAAAATGTCGACACAATGTCAAAAAAATGCGAATTTCGCAGTTATGAGTACTAGGCTTAACGCTCCGAGTAAGTACCTCTTAATTTATAAACGGTTTAGAGTTACTCTAGGGTCACTAAGCTCTCACACCCAGAGTGCTATTTCTAAACGCAACCCTGATGTATTTGTATTTATAATTTTTGACAAATTTGCACTCATGCGTTTTTAACTGAAAAACGCATTCGTGCACTAAAATGCATTCGGGCCAATTTCCCAAAAATTATCGATAATTTAATTTCCATTGCACTGGTTATATTATTACTATTCATAATTCTTGAATTTAATTGTCTTAATTTTTTTTTTCAGTTTGCCAAAACTATGTACTATACCAAAATTCAAAACAAAAGTTAAATTGTAGGTATTTGTGTGTAGGTACCTAATAAATACACACAATAATAAAATCACACAATAATAAAATCGATTAACTTTCCCCAGAAAGATCCAACATGGCGCCTGCGGGTGGTGATGTTTTAGATACGGACGGGAAAAAATGCAAGTACTGCAAATCCGGTGTTGAAAAAAGTTTTTTGAAGTGCAATTTATGTAATGTTTACTACCACCAATCATGTGCCCTAAGAATCTCGGGGCTAGTAGTCACTAGTGGAAGTAAAAATCTAATTAACTGTGCGACATGTGCCAAGGTCGTACGGGACACGGAGGTAAACAAAGTTGTGAATGAAGCTATTTCCGCCAAAGAAGACGAGATTCTGAACCTAAAATCGCAAATAGAAGTGTACGAGGATGAAAAAGTGAAGTATCTTGAACTTAAAAATGAACTCCAAGGAAAAATCTTCTCTCTTGAAAGTATGGTTTCTCCTGCAACCACCCCACCTGTGAAAGCGAAAAGCGACGACAGGGCTCTTGAAACAGAGTTGAGGAGCTTAAGGAGCGAGTATGAAATGTCGAAGAAGTTGCTCGCATCGTTGGAGTACACAGTTGAACTCCAAAAATGCGTAATCTCAACCTTTAAAGGAATAAGTGAGGAAAACATAAACATTGCTTCCATGACCTCTCAAAACAAAGATGACGTCATTGGGGATGCTCGACAAGGGCCAGCAATATTTAGCAACACCGCTAAACCTCCGAAGCAATGGCCAACGCAAATAAGAAATAAACCAAATGTGGCAACCAGGGATGGTAATTCGACCGCACAACAACAGGCAACACTGCCAAGTTGGACAACTCAATCAGCTGAGGCGGCTGTCAATTCCATAGAGGTCAATACCAATGATATTAATAAAAATATAAACAAACAAAGAATCGAAATTATCAACTCGAAAACCCTAAACACGGCATTGATGGAAGTTGAAACTCGCAATGCAATGCAAAATATTCAAAAATTATACACGAAAAATGAGGACGATGACCAGTGGCAGGTGCAAAGACGAAAGCGCCGACGATATGTGGTGGGCGATAATGAGACAGAAATACAAGGGGTCCCAAAATCTGTCTCACTACACGTAACTAGGCTTGACCCAAGCACAAAGCCTGAAGACCTGAGAAATATGTTAGCTAAGCACTTTCCCGAGGTAATTTGTGAGCAACATCCATCCAAACATCCCACTCTATATTCCTCTATGAAAGTTACTCTCAGGCAAAATAACTTCCGCAATGCGTGGAAAAGAGAGATATGGCCAAATGGTGCCCTCGTATCTCGGTTTTTTGCCAAGAGGAGGAACCTGTCACAAACAGAGGAGACAGTTCCTCAGAGAAAATGAAAACTAAATCAAATATAAATATAAGTATAAATAAAACTGTTTCGCAATC